GGTAGCTCACTAAAAATAGGCTTACTGGATTACAGTTGAAGTCATAATAGTCATCCAGGAACTAGTTTATGGGAAAAAAAAAGATCTGAGTAATTCTGGGCTTAGATAATAATAAAACTTGAGATAGCAGTAAGGATTAAGAATGCACTCTTGACTTCATATATTCTGTTTTCAGAAATGTTGCTAGAGCTTTCTGAATAGCTTGCATTGCATCTGTTTCTCTAGAGACTGCAAGGAAGTGTAGTATACAGAAAGGCTGGGCATGACTGCTAACCTCTTTTGCCCTCCCTTGTCAAGTCTCATTCCTCTTTGTTTCCCTTGCAAAATCATATATTTACCATCAAGGTAAGTTTGAGAACTGGCTGCACGTTTACCAGTTTCAGCATATCTGTTATCTGTTACAGTAGAATTAACTACGTCAAATTCTTCTTGAGTAACCAGAATATGTAATAATTAAATGTCAGATAATGTACCCCCTTTCAACAGCAGTAACTGATGTCATTTCAGACTGCACAAACTTCCCTGTAGGTTGCCAATAACCCAGTTGTTCATCTGTAGGTCATCACCTTTAAGTACTGGATGTGATTCATAAAGACTTTCAAAAATAAACACTTTTTGGGTGTATTAAAATTTATCTTTCTACTAGGTTGCAGACTGTAATAAAAATAAAATAAAAAACCAAACCCCTGATAACTTAATGTTCTTCTGTTATTACTATTTTTTACCCACCTCTGAATCAAGTGCATTGATGTGAACTTTGCGAATTTCTATGTTTAGGTAGATGGGTGACATTAAAGAGTTCCCCTAACTGTCTTAGACATACATTAAATACCACTAGGGAAGAAAAAAAAAGGAACTTTTTGTAAACAAAAATGTGTATGGACAGAAGAAAATCCAGTGTAAATGCAGAGCAGGCTATCCTCTTTGTAGCCTTGGAGGGAAATTGGGCATTGCTGTGCATTCTGAAAATTTGTGAGGTGAAGAATTCTGAAATTATGGTTTGTATTAAAAAACATCCTGAAGAATTTTCTCTTGGAATACAGAAAGGCTTAAACAGTATGTCTAGACTGTTTGATGGCTGTGTGGATCATAACTATTCAAGTCAGCACTTACAGGAAGGACACTTACTGGAGCACAAATGTCTTATGCTTGTGATGAAAAGTTTCTCTCAAGGAGATAACTACATTTCTGCAATAGATTTAGTTTGAGTTCATTTGCTGAGTAACTGTAGAGTGTGTGATTATAATCCTTATGCTGAGCTGACAGTTTTTAAGCCATATTTTCTTGTTTTGTATCTGGAAGAAGGGGACTTATCCTCTTAGCCTGATATAAATAAATAAATAAATAAATAACTTTTAAAAAGCTGTTCTGGTAAAAGTGACTTCTACAGACAAGAAGTTAGAAGAACACATATTTTTGCAAGATGGATTAACAAATGAACAAATAAATATACATGTGTATTTGCACAAGTATAAATGGAATGAAGAATTAAGAACTTTACATAACACCATCCGGACACCGTCCCTTCCTCTTTGTTTGGTTTTTAAGATGTTTGTTTTTTAAGATTGTTTCCTAGTTTTGGAAACAATATCTAAAAAAGCACACTATTAGAGATGTAAATAGTTCAAGGTATTAAGGTATAGTTATAAATGTCTGTAGAGCTGTGACTAGCAGCTGTGATGTTTAGCATCAAAACCTGATAGACATAGACCTGGGCATCACAAGAGAAATAATTTTAGATCTTGTGACAAAGTACTCTCTTGAACTCCAAATACCCTTGAAAGCTTTGAGGCTTTGCATATAATGAAACACTGTTACAGCTAAAGTATTGGGATGCTCACTGATATTTTCGAACTTTCTTTACCTGAACCGAAACTGTGGCAGTGTTAGAAATCAGCATAATGCAGAATTTATTCAAGAAGTATTTTTTAAAAAAACTTGATTAAATTATGCAGTTTTGAGAATGTTCAGCAGTATTTTTATTTCTGTATTATGCTGTGCATATGTATTCTTAAATCATCAGCTGATTATCTGTGTTGCTACAAAGAAAAAATACAGTACATCAATAAATCAATCATTACACCCCCTGGATGTCTGAACCAAAGTCCACACTGCAGATGGAATTGGTATGGTTCTTAATTTGTGTACATGCATGAATGTAAATTTCAGAGTCTTTGTGCTCAAGTATTTTAGGGTTTTTATGACCTCTTTTAATTAAAATAAATTTTAAAACCCTTTTCATTCAATTAAGTTATATTTATTATTTTCCTCATACCAAGTTTGGTATATTCTGGAGTTTCTTGAAATGCCTTATCACCAGAACTTAATTAGTTTTTGTTCTTGTTGCAAAAATTTTTAGTGGGCTAACACTGCTTTTAAACAGCCAAAACGTCAACTGGCATCGGTTGATTCCATAAGGAGTGCAGGAGTGGGATCCTTGGTAGCAATGGGAAAAGATTTTAGCTAGCAATCGGATCTTCATGCTGGTCTTCTCTTACTTTTTTTTCTTCAGTTCTGTGCATGAGCTTAGGTTATTTTTGGATCAAACTCCAAAGGCATTGTGATGAGCACTGTAAAATCTTAAATCTTCCTCCCCTTACTTGCAGATGAGAGTCCAGTGTTTGTTACATATGTATCCCTGAAAAACACCTGAAGAGAGCTAGGCATCTTACAATTGGAGCTACAGAGCTTGTATGCTGCATTGGCTTAAAAATAGAATACTATTTTTAGCTTGTGGCATTTGACTACCATTGGAAAATGCTGTGAATAAACATTATCAAATCTCTACCTGTCTTAAACAGTGCTTTTATGGTGGTGCTCAGCTTAATTTAAGGTTCAGGAGTTTGAATAATCCCCCAAAGGAAGACACCAGAACATCTAGTGGGGGGTTCATCCTCTTTGAAATAGCAGGAGAAAATGGAGTGCCAGTAGCAGCTAATGGATAAAATTCACAAATCGTCCTTGGAGCAGAAACAGGGACCCAAAACTTTTCCTTCTAACCTGACTGCCTTAACCACTGAGATGGATTATTTTATGCAAAGGAAGACAGCTTCAACAAAAGAATGTGAGACATGTGACCCTAATCTGGAATACTCTGGGAGTTTAAAATTTTCCTGGACAAAATGGGCAATATATGCAATATAGCAATTTCCCTCAGGCAAAAAAGTGGAACAGAACTTACACTCTTCAACTCTTGCATAAAGGTGTTGGGGAGCAGGAGGGAACTGTTATATGTTTTTAAAAAAAAGAGGTGTCCCTACGTATTTATTGATCTTTCAGATGTTCAATTACCACGTTGACTGAAAAAAAAAATCAACTCTTCAAAAATCCCCCCCTCTAGCTTCTGGATCCCTACGGGGTTTGAAGTATGTGTCAAACTGTGCTGCTCTGTCAACACTGAAGCTTTTATTGACATGTGCAGACGTAGGATGTTAAACTGAAGAGCCCAGTTCCTGTGCTGATTGTCAGCTGAAAGTGTTTTTTCAGAATGAGTATTTTGGAGCTAGGTGCCTAGACTCCCTTCAAACCCTTTCTGAGGATTGGCACACAAAATGTTTTCAATAACAGTCCTAAATTGTTAAAAAGAGCTGTAATGCGGGTTTTGCTTAAATGCAAATATTTGAACCTGAACAGATGCATTGGCAAATGTTAAATGAAAAAAATTTATAACAATGGAACAGTTTGATGTGTTAATATAGAGTCTATGATTTTTTTCTCTTTCACAGGAAACATGATGGGGCTGTTGTAAATTTAATCATTTGTATTTTGGGCTCTAATTGTGTAAACACATGCTTACATGTTTATTTTTACATTTTATATTAATATCACATTTACCTCAAGGTTATTTGAAACATTCAGCTAGAACTACTGTGCATTTTGTAGTGTTGGGATTCTCATGGAGACATAATGCTGTTTCAATAAACTACGGTGTTTTTGTTCTGTTTTGCTGTGCAATAAACTATCGATTGGAACAAATTATCCGTTTCATTCAGATTTTCTTAATTTTCTCATGGGTATCCATATTGTCCCTAATACTGCTTTGTTTTTTCTTTTCTTTTACTTCCTCGCAGGATGCTAATGGCCTATGTTACCCTTCAAGCAAAAGCCACGAACAGACTTTTGCCTACTTGATTGTGGATCCCTGCAAGCGACACGTGAATACGCTGTATCACTGTTTCGGTGGAGGCGTATTTGCTAACTAGTTACGAACCCCAGTTTTACAATGGAGGTGGCCTTCTCTCTGCATGGGTTCAGGTAGAAAATGCATACTTTTCTGACGAGGAACGACGCGCTCCTTGATTACAGGCTCGGAAGTGCTTCACGTTTACTCAGATGTTACTACGGAGTTAGTGACAAAAGTTTTCCTGTATTTATAGTTCTTGACGCTGTTTTCTTGGAAGTGCCCCCCTCTCTTCACCCGTTTTATCTAATAAAAAGTATTTCCCCAAAGGTCTCGTCCCTTTCATGAGCCAGTTTCACAGACCCACGGCGCGTAACTTTGGGGCAGGCTCTGCGGGACGGGGAAAAAGCGCGGGAGGGGGCCGATCGGAGGGGGGGGTGTCCCAGGCCGATGCCCCGTTGCGGGCCGGGGAAGAGGCGAGCACGGCCGCCCCTCCCCACCCCCTCGCGGAGCGGCCTCCTGGAAGTTGGATAGAAGTTCGGGAGAAAAAAAAATTCTGGTTGGCGGCACCGCTCCGTGTCGGCCGCAGGCGGGCGGGCGGGCGGCAGCCGGGAGAGGTGCGGGCGGGCGCACAGGGAGAGGCGGAGGGGCGAGGGCCGAACGCGGTCCGAGGCGGGAGCGGTGCGGGTGCGGTGCGGGTCCGGCGCGGGGTGCGGGGGTCCCGGGAAGCGGCCCCCGCGCCGGGAGCCTCCCGTGCGGGAGGCGGTGCGGGCGGGCGCGCGCAGAAGCGCGACGAGGCACAAGCTGCCTCTGTCGGATACGGTGCGGGCGGGCTCAGGAGGGGCGGGGCCGGCGGCGGAGAGTGAGTGATTCGGGCGGGCGTAACTGCGAACTTTTGTTTGGTGTGTTGTGTGAGTTAGTTTCCGCCGCCGGGACAGAGGCGCCGGCCGGGCTGGGCCGGGCTCGGGGAAGCGCCGCACGGTCAAAGTTGTTTTGCCAGTTGCTGCGGCCGGCTCGGTTTCCCGACCGAAGGGTGAGAAAGTACCGGCGACAGAAGGACGAGCTGCGGCCCGGGGAGCGGGGCATGCGGGGCTGGGAATCCGGGCTCTGAGCCGTCGATCCCCGCCAGGGAAGTGCCGGGGGGGTCCCGACGGAGCCATGGATCCCGGGCAGCCTCAAGCGCAGCAGCCGCCGCAGGCAGCGCAGCCCCCGGCCCCGCAGCAGCAGCAGCAGCCGCCGCAGCCCCCGGGCGCGGTGTCGGGGGCCTCGGCCGGCGCGGCGCAGCCCCCGGGCGCGGGGCCCCCTCCGGCGGGGCACCAGATCGTCCATGTGCGGGGCGACTCGGAGACCGACTTGGAGGCGCTGTTCAACGCCGTGATGAACCCCAAGGGCGCCAACGTGCCGCACACGCTGCCCATGCGGCTGCGGAAACTGCCCGACTCCTTCTTCAAGCCGCCCGAGCCCAAGGCCCACTCCCGCCAGGTGAGGGGGAGCGGAGGAGGGGCCGCTCGCGGGCGGGCGGGGGCCGGCGGGACGGCCCGGCCGAGCTCCCTCTCCCCGCCGCCGCCGAGCTCCTCCCGGGGGAGGCGTGTGGGGGAGGGGGCCGGGGCGGGAATCTGCGGGGCCGAGCGGGGCGGGGGGCGCCCGGCCGGGGCTGCCGGGGCGGTCTGTGCCGCCCGCCGGAGGAGTGTGTCGCCACATCCCTTCATTTGTTCTTCCCCAGGAGCGGGGGCGCCGCGCGGCCCCTGTCGCGCCTCTCGCGCTGGGACCGGGACGGGGATCCGGACGGGGAGCGGGGCCGGGACCGCGGCGGGCGGGCGAGCGGGCGGGCGCTGGCCCCGTCCCGGTGTCCGGCGGGGCCTCGGACTCCACATCCGCTCATTGGCTTTCTCGGCTTCGCCGGGACCGCGGCGGTGGGGGCGAGCTCCTAAAAGTTGGGTGAAAACGCTTTGCTTGGAAGACGGGGAGGATTTCTCTCTGCGGTCCAATTCCCTGCCTTCTGTGGAGGGGGGGGGGCGATGAGGCGGTGCCAAACCTACACCCCCCCCGCCCCGTCAGACAATATGGATGTGGCTTTTCCACCATTTCGGCACTGCGCTGGGTAGAGTAGGATTAACCCTCCCACATATAGACGCACGCACATCCGAAGTTAATTCCAAACTGAGCCAGACATCAGGTCTGACGGCGTCGAGGGTCCGGCCGGGCGCACCTCTCGCATCCCGGGAGTCGCTGGACTCAGACCTGTGGGGCCTCGGCCGTGCTAGCCCGGGGGAGGGAGGGAGGGAGGGAGGGAGGGATGCGGGGCAGGGCCGAGGAGGGAGCGGGGGAGGGATGCGGGGCAGGGCCGGGAAGGGGGAGGCGGGGCGGGGCAGGGCCGAGGGGGGAAGGGGCGATGCGAGGGCAGGGCGGAGGAGGAGCGCGGTGGGGGATACGGAGCAGGGTAGTCCCTCGACCTCCGGGAGCGTTTCGTCTTCAAGCGGAGGAACTTTTGTGCCAAGACCTAAATGCTGGTGTAAATACAGCTGAAAGTTAACGTTTAGGCCGCTGTTACCAATTTTTTGGCAGGAGGCTCTGCCTACCTACTCGAGTGTTATTAAGTAATGAACTTTGTTGCTAAGCTATAAAATAGGTTTTATTATTGGCTATTGTCACTTTATCTGTGTAGCCAGTAAAAGTGAAACTCACTGTGTGGACTGTTGCCTGCTACCCTTGTTGTTAAGGGTCTGTCAACATTTCCATTATTAAACTTCTGTTTTGAAGGATTTATAACGTGACTTCTGAAGTTCATTCCAGGCTGAACCTTGGCACGTTCTCTCCCAGCCTAGGAGTTAATTCATTTTCCAAATACTCGAAAAATCAGTCTGGCCTTCATACAGCAAGACTGAAAAGAAAATTGAAAGGAGTGGAGCTGAGTTGCTTCTGTAATTTTGCTAGCTTCTGAGTTGCAGGCCTTTAATAACATACTGAATTCCAGCAAAGAAAAAGGATTTTATGTACAGTCTTTTTCCAACTTGAGCAAATCTTATCGCAGTTCCATTGTGTACAAATCTGAATAGATAGACATTCATCTAACACTTGGTGTTGTGTCTTGTTAAATACAGTAACTGCAGTTAAATAGCTATCGTGTTTGAAATGCACTTAACGTCTGTGATGTTCCTACAGCTTGCACTTTTAAGCTTAGCCTTATCTTCTTTGTGTATGTTACTCTTCATCTGCAATGCATATTTAGTTGGATCACTGTTCCTTGTACCACTCGGTGGTTGTTAAAATATAAACTTGAAGCCAAAGAATCATTTGCTTCACTGTGGGCTTTTAAAATAAGACTGTTTTCACTTTCCTTTTTGTTTAGTTGTGCCATGAAAACATTCTCTTTAAAGAAAAGGTCTTTCATTTTCTGCAGTTTCCCCTGATTCTCAGGAATCAAGATGCCACAAATTCGGTTGATTTGGTACTCGCGTATTTTTTTTAAATGTACATGCAAGCTAATTCGTTTCCAGTTGAATACGTGGAAGTTCACGTGCGCTTGCATACAGATGGAGCGAAGCCGAATTGTCAGTCTCCATAAGAGTGTCTAAGTGGGGCCTCACATATGGTGCAATACCTTGTGTAGAGAGGTGTGACAAGGGCTGATACATGCATCTCATTATGGGTATCCATGTTGTTCTGCTGTATCTATAAAACCAGTTAATTGGCAAATATATTTTAAAAAGCCATTTTTATTTCAATCAGGTCTTCAGAACTGCCTTTTCTGTTCCATGGTGGATCTGTATTTACTACTGGCAAGGACATTCTTTGTGCTCCAGTGAATGGTTTTGTGAATCACTTCTGATTGACTGGTTCAACCTTTTCCTGAAGCTTTGCTTTGGATAAAGCATGGACAGACTCTTTAAACCCTCGAAAGCATGGATTGTTAGGAAATTCTGTGTTCAGTATTTTCGTATATGTTTTCTTTATGGTTGAATTTGTGTCTTCCTCCATTGGACCTCACTGCTGCCAGTTGGCATTTCTCTATTGCTTTTCTCTTTGGATAATCTTTTAAACCCTACAGAGGGTCTCTGTGTGGGTATACTTGAACCCCCACACCCCTCTTTCAAAAGAAGAGTGGGAAATTACCTCCTCCAGCAGAAATCGGGTGTGATGGTGGTGAGTGGGTGCAGTCCAGTAATGAACCACTAAATAGTGTATGAGGTCTGCTGACTGCGGGCACTTTTTTTCCTGAACCCTACACCAAGGAGTAAGAGTTGTAGTTTTCAAAGTAAAACTAAGGGCGCTTAGCACATACTTAGTGGTAATAGGTCTTGACTTACACTAGGGCTTTTGTGATGCTAATTAACCAGACTACTTGGAGGCTCTCTTGAACGGCATCAACTGGAAAATAAGCAGAATTTAAAATGACTGACTTAAGAATTTCTCCTGAAAGGTTCATTTAAAGCGAAATGTCATTTGACAGCTGCATTTCTGCTGAAATATATGAATTTTAATGGGAATAATTTCACTCCTGGCAGGCTAGCACTGATGCAGGGACAGCAGGAGCCCTAACCCCACAGCATGTCCGAGCTCATTCCTCTCCAGCATCACTGCAGCTGGGAGCTGTTTCTCCAGGGACGCTTACACCCTCTGGAGTAGTGACTGGACCTGGAGCTCCATCTTCTCAACATCTCCGCCAGTCTTCATTTGAGATCCCTGATGATGTACCTTTGCCACCAGGCTGGGAGATGGCTAAGACACCATCTGGACAGAGATACTTTCTTAAGTAAGTAAAATTTCTTTTCAGTTAGCTGTATCTCTGGTGCTTGTTGGGATATATTTTATACTTTTTTTACAGTCTTTGAATTTTAGTAAATTTCATTGTGTTTAAGATATGTATTTCTAAAAATATGCTCCTAATTTTAAGTAGGAGAGCCTACCACTTTCGTACTTCTGAAAATATTAACTCTGTGCTGTATCTAAAAGCTTTATGATACTCTGTGAATATTCATCTTACCTTAATCTTAGCTGAAGAATGTTACCGGTTATATTGTCTACTAAAAATCAGTGAAGCACACATAGCGATTTTTAAACAATGTAATGTTTGGATTTGCTGAATCTTGTCAGAATTGTCGTGCAGGTCAAGATAAATTTTACCTTATTTTTATAATACAGATGTAAAAATATAGAGTGACTTTAGAAACTGTTCTAGTGACTGTATATCAAGACTTATCTCTTGATTTAGAACAGTTGTGTAACTACGCAATCAAAACGTTTTTGCCTACTCTCTATTCATGAGGAAATTAATATATGTGTTTGAGTGCAGTATTTGAATCTGTAACTTCTCTACATTTTCTGCAGTGAAATGGAAATTAACAGAACTTGTAACATTGTTTCATGTTCCTACAGCTGTATCTTTTTCACACAGTGAAATTAGTATCACCTTTTCTGTAACTGCAGAGAGGTTACACATGCCAGCCATCTGACACCTAATCCATCAGGGAGCGTTTTCTTTTATTCTAAAACAGCAGGAGCTTGTCCTTCTCTTTCTGAGACCATAATTTACCCTCAAATATTTTGATTATATTTTAAACTTTTTATTTAACTGCAAGTCTCTAAATAACCCATTATATGTCATTTTCAGGGCCGGGATAGGCAACACTGTTGCTTATATAAAACTTGTTTCAGCCAAGAAAAACATCTTTATCCCTACCTTTCTTGCTTAGACATTGTCATTTATATGTGCATCTGATTGAAGTAATTGAGTCTGTAGCTTCAAAAACAAACTTACATTGTCTGCAATGAAAGTGGAACTTGCAGAACTTCTTAAAAATGTGTTTTGTTCCTGTAGGGGTGGCGTTTCCATACAGAGAAATTAGCTTTTTTTTTTTTTTTAACCAAAAAGAGGTTACAGTAGTTGTCTGATATTTGAGTCTGAAGGGTTTTTTTTGAAAATAATCATTATTAGGAGCATGAAAATAAGCATTAGCTACAGAGCCTGAGGATGGGATATTTTCTAAAAAATCAGCATGTTCTAGAATGTGAACTTTTGAGCAGGCACAAGTAGAGGTTTTTTTTGAACTGTGTAAGTTTATGCCGTTTGAGAACTGTAGCTCATTGGACCTTGAGGAAAGAACAGACCGTGTTTTGAAATAAAAAGCAAACTTTGTTTTGACTGTGTTAGTGAGAGCTCTTAAAGAGCAGCTTATGAAGCACAAAAAATAGATATTTGATTTTTAGGTTTTACTGCCGCAAGTGCTTGTTTTTGATAATGCTGTCAAATTTACAGAAAAATGGAACAGTTTAAGAGACGAAAAATGTCTTCATGCTCTTGTAATAAATTTTTTTTAATTATGCTCATTCAGGTGAAAGCAGAGTGAAAGATGTGTTCTTGGAAAGCTTTTTCTGCAGTTTGATTATTGCTACAAAAAATCTTTTCCTTTTTTCTGCAAGTTTTTTTGTCCTTTCTTGGTGTCCTGGTATCCATTTCAAAGGGTCAGGTTTCAGCAAGAACAATAAAGAGCCTGAGAGTGGAAAGTACACACAAGTCTGGCAAACTCATCTGCATGAGCAAGATCGTTTGTTCTCAAGCAGACATCCAAAGTAAATGATTGAAAGAGCTGCTAGCTGTGAAGGATGTGTCTTGAAGGGGAGAGGAGTGGAAACAAACCATATTGTTAGGAAGAAAAATAAAGGCTGTACTTTTTGAACCTCTCCCTGCTGGGTCCCATGCTGACCCTGGGAGATTTTAAACAGTGTAATAGGCTGTTTTCTTTTGGCTTTCCTTGGGTGATGCTGTGGTATGGGAGAGTGTAATGAGGACAGTTCAGAAGGCTCTGTTCACACTTAAAGAACATGTGTTGTTCCTAAAAGGTTACTTAACTCTATCTACAGGTGAGATCCACTGAAATCATTTGAGTTCGTGAAGATATGTAAAAAGCATTTCAAGTATTAGCAAAATGTTTGCTCTGTATGTGTAGGAAGTCTAAAAAAATGTAAGAATTAGCTTTGAGTAGCAAGTTTGTATATTAAAAGGTTTTTTCCGTGTTGAGTGATAAATTCTATCTCACATCTGCATGCCTGTTGAATACTAACATCTTGCTTAGTTATACCTTAAACATTTGCTTGAAATGTGAATACTAAGATTTCTGATTCTAAATACATTTAGAGTGGTTCCTTCTACCATATGCAGATTTCTGGTGTCTCTTCCAAGTATTCAGCTTTTTTTTTTTTTGGGTTGGCTGCACTGCTTTTTGTTTCCATTTACTCTGTTCTGTAGCCACTCCACGAACAGTCTGGTAACCAGGCTCTAGAAGGATCTTTGCAGAATAGGTAACAATGTTATATTTTTTCCAGATGTCAGTAAGACTTATGGTTATAGTTATCATAATATACTACGATGCAAACAGAATAAAATAAAATTGAGTACCGTACTTAGTACATTTTGTAATTACAGTCACTTCCACTAATCGATGGGTCAAGTACTGCAAGTGTAGTAGTTTGTGCAAAGAAATGAAAGTAGTGTATGTGGGAGAGAAAACGTTTAATCGCCTGTGTGTGTGCATATATATATATATACATGCAGATACATGCACAGAGTTATTTGGCCACGTATTTTATGTACACACCCCACATATCCGTAAATATTAAAAGAGGGTGAGAGGGGTAGTGTAGGGTCTGAACCAGAGCTACTCTTATAAATTAGTCAGTCAGCTAGATAAATAAACCCCCTTATGTATGAATGCCTGACATATGATTTGCCAGAATTCCACTCATTAATGTTCATCTCACTGTTATGAGCAGTTCTGCTGAGTATAATTTTCCATTAGTGATGATTTTGAGCCATGAGTTAAGGCCACTACTTACAGCTGGTAAAACTAATCGTATTTTTTTACTGATACTGCTCCTTAAATTGAACTCCTCAGTTAAGACTTGCCTAGTTAGTAAGTGGTCAGATCTGACTCATGCCAGCATTGCTGTGTGGTAGCTTTAGCCCATTCTTAAAGATGCAGTATAAAAGCCCTGCTTGGTTTGTGTGGTGATGTCAATTGCATTGCTTTTTAACCGCTTCCTGTTAGCCAGCTGCTGGTTGACATTTTGGTGAACTAAGGAGAAAGATAGGGGATCGCTCTCTAGGCAAAAGATAGTATGCCATGGGAGTAGCAGGCAACTACTTGCAGAAAGAAAAAATAAGTTTTGATTAATTTTAGAGTTACTCTTGTATCATTTTAGTTTAGAGTTAGGCTTTTAATTCTTACAAAGCTTGTCTAATACCGCTTCTTATGTTGTAGTGGGAGGAAAAGTTAACTGATTGTCCAGCAAACAAGTCTTATAATTATTTTTCCTACAGGAAGTAGTTCTTGCAAGCAGTTTATCAACAACTTCCTATTTTTTTTTCCTGTGAAGTGTTGAATGACTTCCTGAAGGAGGCCAAGGTGGTTTTCATTAGTATCTGTGGGTGTGAGGTGTTTACCCATCTGGCAGAAACCTTAAAAATAGATTTCTGTTACACATTTCTTATGTGCTTCATACAGAGGCATGGCTTTGGCCATTATGAAATGAGATCGTTTAAGACAACCAGGAAGTTTGTTGCTGTGCTTTTACTTTTTTTTTTTTTTTTTAATTTCCTCCTGTCACACATGAAAAATACCCTGTACTGTTGTTAAATTTCTCTTTCATCCTGTTTTTGCACCTGACTGGAGCCACCCACTACACCAGTATCATCTGCTCCCCTCCTCCTCCCCACCTCACCAAAGTAATCTTAGTCTTCAAGGACAGAAGATGTTTATTGGAAAAGCTGCAGCCACAGTTACTTATTTTATTGAATACCTTAATTTATTGGGGAAATGCATATTCAGCTTCATCAGTTAATGTGAGTTCTTGTGTTTATAGTTCAGTCTAGTTGGTCAGTAAAATAGCAGTATTGTTGGAAACCAGAACTGCAACCACTGGTTTTGATGGATTTCTCCACTTTTTCATGCTTTTTGTACTGAAAAGCAGTTGAAGATGTCTATTTGCTAAATTTTATTTATAATATGTCAAGTTAGTTGCATTTTTGGAGCATAGCTTAAGAAAAGAAATATTATTAAAACACTTCTGAAGTAAAGCTTGCTGTAATATAGTTTTGGCAATTTAAGGGAGGTTTTTTGTCTTGGAAGATGGTCATAGTACTACCAAGTGTATATTTTTCTTTCTGTCTCTTACTTCGAAGAGTCCTATGAAAGAACAGTAACACAAGCTATTTGGAATTTGCAGTTGTACTAAAGATTTCTTTGTTTTTAAAAGGGCCGAGGAAGAATAAGGGCAAACCTGCCTTATTTGTTTTAGCACTGAGACCGAATTTGGAGGATGATGAAAGTACATACTCAGCCTGGTATGAATTCAGAGAACTTGCAGTCAGCTTACTTGATGGGCATCAGTGAAAGCAACTGCACACAGTACTTTGCTTGGGTTTGGTTTTTATTTTGCTTAAGAAAAATTGTAAATTATGATATCCATGCATTCAATACCCTACCGTACAAGGTGATTTTATAAGGCTAATTCCAAAAGCAGTTTAATAGATGTTTTATAGATGTGATTTCAGGTAAACCAGAACTATATCTTATGGTTTTTGCTAATGTATTTTTCTCTTATTTATAAGCATCTTGACATTTATTATCTTCAGAAGAAATTAGAACTGGGGAAAATATAGAATCTCTGGCACTTAATTGGAATAATTAAATTTTCTCTGAGGACTTTTTTTTTTTAAAATTAGCTGTTGATCTGTACCTTTCTTCTTCCTACAGA